CTCTGAGAGAAGTGGGAGTGTCAGCATATCTAAGAAAATGGCTTTAAATTATTTCTCCTCTTATTCCAATTGGTTTGCCAAAGAAACAGCTCATAAAGTGACAGGAGCTGGTCCCTCAGCAACCTAGAAGGGGAGGGATAAAACTGTTATCTGAGCATCAGACAGGAAATATACGAGCAGGAAGGGATTCCTTGTCACTTTTGGCCCATTTTCACTTCAGTCTGATAAACAGCCCTTCCTTTATCCTTTTTTCTTCTAAAAATTCCTCCTTAAAGTCCTCCCTCTCAGTCACTCTTCAGAGGACAGTAACACCCAAGGCATTAGACTCCCCCACCTGTCTCGCCTGGAATATCTCTGGGTTAGTGGAAATAGCTTAGGAATCATTTTTATTTTCTTAGAGGGCCATTAAAATGTAGGAAATGTGCTTCAGAAGGGCATGTGAATATGACTAGATAAAATATAAATGTTCCGTTAATCTCTCTAAAAACAATTTAAGAAAATATATGCTCCTGTTTTATACTATTTTATTTTAATGCTGCTTAAAGGAGGAGAGAAAGAAGATGGAGAAAGAGGACAAGAAAGAGGCGAGGGAGAAAGGGGAGGGAGATTCATGAAGCTAGACAGGAAGAGGGGAGGTGAGGAGACAGAACTATTTACATACAGAGAGAAAAAGGAGAGGGAAGAGCAAGAAAGAGACAAAGATGTCAAATTACAAACCTCTTATGAAGAGTCATAGCGACATAATAATGAAGAAAAGTGACTATACATAGTTACTTTACTATTTCCTCTCATCCATCATCCATTCATCCATCCACCCACCCACTAATCCATACATCCATCAATCCATCAATCCATCTATCCAACCATCCATCCGTCCATCCATCCACTAATCCATCCATCCATCCACCCACTAATCCATACATCCATCTATCCAACCATCCATCCATCCATCCATCCACTAATCCATCCATCCATCCACCCACTAATCCATACATCCATCTATCCATCAATCCATCTATCCAACCATCCATCCATCCATCCATCCATCCACTACCCATTAATCCATCCATCCACCCACTAATCCATCCATCCATCCATCCACTAATCCATCCATCCACCCACCCACTAATCCATACATCCATCTATCCATCAATCCATCTATCCAACCATCCATCCGTCCATCCACTAATCCATTCATCCATCCACCCACTAATCCATACATCCATCTATCCATCAATCCATCTATCCAACCATCCATCCGTCCATCCATCCACTAATCCATTCATCCATCCACCCACTAATCCATACATCCATCTATCCATCAATCCATCTATCCAACCATCCATCCATCCATCCATCCACCCATTAATCCATCCATCCACCCACTAATCCATCCATCCATCCATCCATCCATCCATCCATCCACCCACCCACTAACCTATCCATCCATCTATCCAACCATCCATCCATCCATCCATCCATCCATTAATCCATCCATCCACCCACTAATCCATCCATCCAACCATCCATCCATCCATCCATCCACCCACCCACTAACCTATCCATCCATCTATCCATCCATCCATCCATCCATCCATCCATCCATCCATCCATCCAGTTACTTGCTCACGGGGTTTTTATATCAAGCCACTTGCCATAGTGCAGTGCCTACCTTCAGTATGATGTCTCCTGGCAGGAGCCGGCCGTCTCTGGCAACTGCGCCATCATGATAAATGTGTTGGATGACGATATGGACCAG